AAGGGTCTAGAGAACAAGTCTTACAAGGAGCGGCTGAGGGAGCTGGGATTGTTTAGTCTGGAGAAGAGGAAGCTGAGGGGAGACCTTATTGCTCTCTACAACTACCTGAAAGGAGGTTGTAGCAAGGTGGGGGTTGGTCTCTTCTCCCAAGTAACAAGTGATAGGACGGGAGGAAATGGCCTCAAGCTGCACCAGGGGAAGTTTAGGTTGGATATTAGGAAAAACTTCTTCACTGAAAGGGCAGTCAGGCATTGGAACAGGCTGCCCAGGGAAGTAGTTGAGTCTCCATCCCTGGAGGTATTTAAAAGACAGGTAGACGTGGTGCTTGAGGACATGGTTTAGTGGTGGACTTGGCAGTGCTAGGTTAATGGTTGGACTCGATGATCTTAAAGGTCTTTTCCAACCTTAACAATTCTATGATTCTATGAGGTTGAGTAATATCCTTTGTTTAGTTTCTCGCATGTCTCCAACACCACTGTATTTCAAATGTAGCCTGTCTCTAACAGTTTCATGTCATTTACAGTTCCTTGGCTATCAAAGCCATGACCTATAGAGATTTTACAAACTTTTTTTTTAACCTTTTTGCTTGTTACTTTTGAACAGTACCATGAAATGTTTTGGTTTTATATACTAAGCTGCCTGCTCATTACACTATGAGTTGTTCACATCATGGACTGTGAGATATTTTGCTATAGAAAAGAAAAAAAAAGGAAAAAAAATAACAAAGCAAAACCTCCACAACTACACAGCGTCGAAATCTGCTTTGAGGTCACTTGGCCCTCTGCTATCCAACTGATAGATTTTGATTACAAACACGCTATGAAGAAGTCACGTTACTTACAGGCTCCAAATCTTTCATGCTCACAGGGAGCTCACGTATGGTAAGCAGGAGATCCAGCCTCTGCCCTAAGTGGGGGATTTTACACATCTGCATAGAATTGAACAGAAAAGGAATCAGAACCCATCTTTATACCAAAACATGAACATATCTTTCATAATTTATTGAATAATTCATCTGCACCATAGTTTTCCTAATTTCTGTGCTCATTTATTAATTTTATTCTAGGCCTTAAGTTTGTAGATATACTATGGCACATACCTGAATATGCATCATTTGCATATGCAACTTCAAGAAGATACTGTATGCTAGTAGGGCCAGACATTATTAAAATCAATGACACTCATTTCTTGTGAACAAAAATGGTTAAATGCATACAATTTTATGTTTATAGATTTTGGAAATCTTGCTCAGAATTAATCAGCTCCTACTTTGGAGGAAGGGGAGGGAGACTTGGAGACGCAAAGGGATCCACACAGTTCTCTTCCTAATATCTACCTGTCTCAACTCTTTATCAGATAAATCCTCTTATACTGATTCTGGCTGAGATTGTAAATTTAAGTTCCAGACAACAGCTTCTTGCAGTGGTTTTATCTAGAAGAGAATGTCCTAGAAATAGCATGTTGTGTCTTTTAACACTGTACCTTCTTACCTCTAACATAAACTGATCAACCACGTGCAGCTCTGAAGGAGACCCCCTGAATGACTGGTACCTTTCTGCATCTTTTGGTGTTGGCATGTATCTGTAAAACAGCAAATGCAAACTAGATGTCCTCTTCCTCTTCATTCTATATTGTTGTAACATAAAACAATCATTCCGTTCCATTCCATGCATCGGAATTTCTTACTGTTTAGTGTGTTTTACATATTGCATATTTATGCTTTAACCATAACTTTACAAACATTTGAGCCAACTATGCGCTGGAAAGCAAAAATGATCTGCAGATACATCTGCATACCTGGAAATGCTTATATATACATAAGGCTTGAAAATAACAGTCAGTAGTGTTCACGTGCAGATTTACAGACAATTTACAATGGCATAGGCTATTTTGGCAAAGGTAAAACCATGCAACAGAGGAGTTAAGGCCATAATTTCCAAAGAGGTTCATTAATTCTGTGCTTGATACATTGAAAACAATGCCTTGCTTTCATTGATTGGATGAACATATCTGACAACCTTTCCAAAACACCTAGAAACACTATACACTTTTTGAACAGTTATGGCCATGCTGTCTCAGCTTGTCTCCAGCAATAGCTTCTTTGAACAATTAGCACAAAAGCAGAGCAGATTCATGCTATGGTGTGATTAACCAGTAGGCCCCACAGTCTGACTGGCTCCTACCTCTAAAACGTTTTTAAGTGCCCATGAAACAAGAGTGGACAATGGCATTTCTGTCTCTCTAAGCGCTGCACCACATGCAAGATCCATTTTTGTTATGATAGCACGTAACACAGACCCACAACTTTCTTCCTTCTGCATAAGGTAGCAGAATACTCTCCCACGGTACTCCAGAGCTGCAGATTTTTAGAAAACCAACATCTCTAAACATGCTTCCACTTGGAAGAATAAACACACCACCACAGTTCCCCTTCCTGCCTGTCTGTCTGATACACTATGGGGATTCAGAGCATATCTTAAGAAAAATGAAATAGATGTTATAGCTAACATATGAGAAGGAGTGTTAAGAATCTTAAATAAGTATTCAGGTCTACTATCTTCTTTCGCTGCAAAAAAGCTACTAAATTTGTAGCAAGTGTGATTAAACATTCATGGGGATAGATATACATTTTCATTAAAAGTAAGGATATTTATTTAAAGATGGAAAAAATAAAGCAAAGATTTTAGCATATTAAATACAGGACAAACAATAAGATTTTTTTTTTCTGTTGTCAATAATTTAATATGACATTTCAATTGAATAATTGCTGGGTTTTGAATTATTAAATCTATATTAAAGCAGATTACAAAATATTCCATTCATCACCCATCATCATCAAGAAAAAAAGATGAATTCTCATTTAAAAATAACAGTTATCTGTTGGCAAATGAAAGGGGTTTTATTTATCATTAAAAATAGTTTGACTTTTTAAGCAAATGCAAAGAACTTTTTTTTTTAAAGCTGACAGCAAATATCTTCATTTAATCAGAAGTCCGATATCCCATCAAATTATTTTAATGTATTATGTATATGAAACGAAACTAGCAGATTAACTAGAAGGTTTAAAGCTTAAAGCATTAAACAATGGAAGCCATGGAAAAGGAAGCACAAGAATATGTGAATGCATTCCATAAATATCTTTTTACATGAATGCAACTCTAATGGAATTTGTGCAACGAAAAATCTCCCACTGTTCTGAAAAATCAAGTTTATAGAGACAAAGAGTGCTTTGATATTGATTTTAAGATGTCAGGATAAAGAATCATTCAGAGAACTATGGAAAGGTTTCCGTATCAAAATAAGTCTTGAAGTATCTAATAATATTCCAGCACCTCCACTAACCTTCACTGGATACATGATCAGAACATTTGCTCACTGGTCAGAGTCTTGAAAATGTAATCTTGGTTTTGACTTTAAATATTTCCCATTCTACAACAGTAGAATTTAGACTTCCTGCTCAGGCTTAGACAGTATGACAGGTATAATTTGCACAGAGAGGAATTTTCCAGCCCCTGACTATCCTGTTTAAACTCCTGTCATAACCACAGGTTCTCAATTAACTAGAGGCCACAGTTTTCAACAGTAAAATTTTCCACCATGGCACCTAAATCAAGTGGAAAGGTCTTCAAAAGTGCTAAGTGTCCTGCTACTTGTATTGTGCCAAGTCCACTACAGTGCATTGTACAAGAGAAACTTCTGAGTGCTGATGTTTCAAGATAAGTGTCTGCTCCTTCGATGAGATGTCTGAACGGGAGCCATAAGACACTGAACTGCCTTGGAAATCCAACCCTCAATTCTGAATGCATCTCATCTATTTCAGTAACACTTTTAAAACTGTTAGGGTGGAAAAAAAATAGCTTCCTTTCACTACAAGATTTGTACATGCATTCCTAGATTTTGGCAATAAATAAGAATCCCAGAAACAGAATCCTTGATGCTAAATAGCATATAGCAATACAGCATCCAATCTCTTTTACACATTTCATTGCTAGAAAAATTTCCTCGGCATTATTGCTATCAAAGGAAGACTCTGAAATCTTCAAGGAAAAAATAAAATCTTTCAAGTTTCATTGCATCATTATTATTATTATTATTTTCTGATGGCAAAGAGCCCAGATGCTATAAATCAGTGATCTCAGTGGTGTTACACAAATTTCAACAGCGTGGAGAGCCTGGACTGAATCTGCAGTGCTGTATTAGGGCTTGAACAACAGAGCGTGGTCAGTGTTTTCTTTCAAACTGAGGTGTGAGCAAAGGCTGTCCTCATAAACAGGGCTGGCCAGACCCCAAGCACTCTGCTGTGCTCCAGGACTGGAGGCATTTCTCTACTTGCCAGCTCCAACCATTTGTTTCTCCAGAGGCAGCCACAAGTGTAACTGGAGAGCACTCTCGATGTCCAAGACATTTCACTGCAGTTATCTCCTGACCAATTCCATCACTGCAATTAGAAACTGCAGTACTGCAGTAAGATCTTTCTTTTTTGAATGAAGCCCTTAAGGTCAGTTTTTGGAAAGGCAACAGAGCTCCCTGGCCTTCAGTAGGGCTATACACCTCTCGCCAGCTCATAATCTGCTGTGCACCAGTGTGGGGTATAACTGGTAAAGCACTGGGGAAGCATGGAAACTTCCTCCAGAACACTGGTACATATAAAACATTTAAATATTCAATGTCTTTGTCCATGTTCCTTCATACTTCAGGCAAGTTCTGTACAAGCCGTCTCACAGAATGACATTAATTCTATTACATGTCTATTCTTCCTGTTCACATTGCTTTTTATCTGCAGACTTTAAAATTACTGTGGGTGTACTGATTAGGATCAGGATTTTAAGGCCAAAATTAAAGTCATTCCACAAGGAGTAGAAACATCAATTATTACTGTCCTGGTTTCAGCTGGGATAGAGTTAGTTTTCTTCTTAGTAGCTGGTAGAGCGCTGTGTTTTGGATTTAGGATGAGAATAATGTTGATAACGCACTGATGTTTTGGTTTTTGCTGAGCAGAGTTTATACTAGTCAAGGACTTTTCAGCTTCCCGTGCTCTGCCAGGTGCATAAGAAGCTGGGAGGGAGCATAGCTAGGACAGCTGACCCAGACTGGCCAAAGGGCTGTTCCATACCATATGACATCATGCTCAGTATATAAGCTGGGGAAAGAAGAAGGAAGGGGGGGACATTGGGTGTGATGGCGTTTGTCTTCCCAAGTAACAGTTATGCATGATGGAGCCCTGCTTCCCTGAGGATGGCTGAACACCTGCCTGCCGACGGGAAGTAGTGAATGAATTCCTTGCTTTGCTTTGCTTGCGCGCGCCCCCCGGGGGGGGGTGAGCGAGCGGCTGTGTGGTGCTTAGTTGCTGGCTGGGGTTAAACCACGACGACTTCCTTAGTTTTTTTGCCAGCGTCATCTTTTTTCGAGCTCGCTTTAGAAAAACACTCAATTTTTTTCTCATTTTGAAGCAAGAGGTTCGCATCAAGTTTTCATATGAATGTGTTTAATAAAATGGCCCAAGTATCACATGGGGACTGGGATGTATAACGGATACTAGTCTAGGCTGCCACTTCTTTCCCTTCTTTCTGTGTCTTAAATTATTCAAAGAGATACAATCCAGTTCCTACAAATGTCACATGCCAATAGTTTGCTTACACTCCTGAAATCTATTCTTCTCAATATAGTAATTCAATTTTTTTAAAGATAAAGAAATTTGCATTCTGCTTTAAACCCACAAATCTCTGCCAGTCAGAAATACTGATATTCTTAATATCCCATCATCCCATGAAGCTCCTTTAACACTTGTCTGCCTTCCTCCTCTCCAAACCAATTTTAAATCTTTCATTTCTGATCCCACAATAGACGGTAAGGCTGTACTAAGAGATGTTGTAAAGTTTTCTCATCAAGTTACACCTGCTGACTGCCACAACTTATTATTTTACTAATTCTGCTCCTTGTAACTAGTTCACAAAATCATGTCAGATTTGCTGTCATTTCTTGCAATCCCCTTTCCTACACAACATGGAGAAAAGTGATATTTTGAGGGCATACACTAAAATCTGTTGCAAGGACTGAGATTTCTGTGTGCAACCCTAATATTCTATTCACAGACAGGATAGACCCAACGTCTCAGTAGCATCTTTCCTGAACTTGCATTATTTGCAGAAGATTATGCCTTCTCCAAAAGGTAGCATATATTATAAAGAAACAATTGAACCCCAAAGATTACCTTCTTAGTGCTGTAATCTGCTCATCTGTAAGTCCACCACTCTCTTCATGTATAATGTATAGTTTTTCTTTCAGCTCACTTGGTTTTATGCGGAAACTTTTAAGAAAAATGTCTGGAGGAAAATGATTCTAGATTACTTGGAAGAAAATGCTTAAGGGAAGGAAAATCTCCAAAACATTTCATATTTACTTTCCAGATTTAAAAAAAGAAAAGAAAAAAAAAAAAAGAAAACAACAAAACACAACCAAAACCACATCACCAGAAAAAAAAACAAAACACTTAGTAGCTGCTAATGCTAAGGCAAAAACTCAGTCTTCATATTTTCTTTAAATATACATAGCAGTCAAGCAAAAATATATTACTGTCAGAACATAGTCAATGCTTAAGACAGAACTACCAAGATACTGTTATCGGAAGGTACTCAAGTACTTGCTCGTATATATTTCTGTTGTACTCAGCTCAACAGTCAAAATAATTTTTTCCAAATAACAATACAATGTATTGGCACATTATAATATCTTTGAAGGTTGAAGACCTTAAATTTTCCATTTGTTTTGATTTTGTTTACTTGCTTTGCTTAATTTCCAGGGTTCAAAAGAAGGTAAGTAGAGTCCGTGCAAGAAAAGTTACTCCCAAAATGAAGGAAACCTGGGAAAGAGAAGTGCTCACTTCTTCCACACTGCCTGATACTCTAAAATCTGATTAAAAGTTTTTATAATGTTTAAGACTTCTGTGCTGACATGGGGCTGGCTTACAATATGCATTATGACAGGAAAATGGAAATAAGACATCTCTTCCCCAAACAGGTGAAGAGCCATTTGTGAGGCTGTTGCTCCCAAAAAAGACTGCTTTGTCTCGCCAGTTATTCTTTAATTACTGTCTGTCTCCGTCATCATTACCAAAGGATGAAGACAAAAAAGGAAGCACAAGGAAGTGAACAGAGGGCATCAACAGAAAAAGCAAAAAGTTTTAAATGCTTCTCAGTGTTGGCATGAAACTTGTCCTATAGTCTCTGCTACGACAGAAATCCTCTGAGCAGCACAAGGGGATTGAGGAGAATTCAAGAAGGATGTGTATGATTTACTTTTTTTTTCTCTCCAGTTCCAAGAAGGAACAGAGTTTTTCAGGTTATAGGAACTTGCTGTGGCCCGAATCAGCTATTAATGGTTCTCAGGAGACTGTTGGCCAACGGAGTATATGCCATTTATTCTTCCTCTGACACACTTTCCACCCTTTTAATTTTGTTATAAGATCTAGCTTTAGTGCTAAGCCTAGCAGAATCTTCCCTTTTTCCTTCTTATGCTTTTTATGCCTTATATCTTTTGCTTCCCTATGCCTTTTAAACCATATTTCTCTGCAGGTGTGGTGATGTGTATGGACTGTAACAGAGTAACTCATAGTAAAATGGTGATTTTAAAATTTTCACAATCTATCTACAAAGCATTTAATATTTTCTTGAACGTTTTCAGTAGTTGAAATTAGCTGCTGAATAAATTCTAGTCAACAGACTTTGCCAAAGTATTTTCCTAGGTGAAATAAGGATTGTATATATGGGAAACTGGGTCTCATACAGAGAAACAGGCATCAGTCAAGTCACAGAAGCTGGTATTTTGATTCCTAAATCAGTTTTTCATGCACTAGATCCCACATTCTTGGATTACCATACAAATTATAGTGTCTCCCAAAACTTTTTCATTGGAAATCTGAGGATGTTTCTCTTGTCTCTCTCTTTCCGATATCTGTTCTCTGTATGGCAGAAATGTATTTTGTCTACAAGAAGTCACTACATATCTTAGCTTTTATTTGCATTTTCTCATACATTGGGCTTAAATTTAGTGTGTAGATCTTCTCTCAGAACTCTCATTTTTCTCTTGTGTTCAGAAATCCACTCAAATTCTCAAGAAATGTTAACCTACTGGTATTTTGGAGCTTCATCTTTTTATTCGCTAACTTAAGAACTGTGGTTTGCAGCACCTGCAGGAAGATTAATCAGAAGTCTCAGGATCAAATTAACTTTTGATCTAAGTAATGTCCATTATAATAAGTACATGCCAAAAATCTCACTGATGGGACTTTAAGGACAAGATTAAGAAATGGATGTAGAATGCCTCAATAAAAAAACTTGTAAGAGGAATAGGATCAAAAGGAAGAATGGTGCTATTTGCAAACCAAAAGAAAGAAATTTCCTAAGAGAAACTGCAATAATTTAGCAGGTAAAAGTGCTATTACAGGATTCTTTTTATCTACAACAGCACTTCCTTATCACTCCCTTTTAACCCTCCAAATTGTTAGTCAATGGATGCAATAATTCCAACAAGTTATCTCCATTTACAGTTCCCAATTAAAACTTGATATGATCTCCAAAATATATTTTCTTATCAATATTCATGAAGATGAAATCATTAAAACTTCAAAATTAACTGCCCCAAATTCTTTACACATGTAACATTTCTTAAAACATCGCTAACTTACAGAACTTTTTTGAAAGCCATCTCTGTAATGAAATCAGAGTAGTCTTTGAAGAACAATTACTCTTGCTTCTTTAATATCTACCAATTCTCATCAAAGTAATTGAAAGACCTTTACATCATTTTATTAGTAAGACCAGAACTATGTGTTGAACTGCTTCATTAGCTGTGAAAGACTGTTCTAGGTCAGGCCTTTGGCAGAATCATACCTGGGATATGAGAGCGAAGGATCCTGTTCATGATCATTCGAGACAGCCGTTCACAGTCTAAACTATCGGCCAGAGAAATCCCAAGAGAGTTCCTGCAACCTGGCTTGTAACTGCCTCAAAGGCTTCTCACACCATCTACAACCCATCTACGCCTACGTGAATATTCTTGAACTCAGTGTAGGAGAGAGCCTGAGCACAGTACTCAAAGTTCTAGCTACCAAGCTGTTTCTGTTGGTTTGTTTCACCTGGACAGCCCACAAAATTTGAAAAGGCTTTGAAGTCAGAGTCTTAACATGGATTTCACAGGTGTCATACATGATTTTACATATCTGCCCTAAGACAACAGCATCACAGCTCAATGGCACATCCACACATTTTGTACAGGAAGAGGAGAAGCTTGGTGCTTCTACTCTACATCGTTAAGGACCACATTTAGAGCAACTGAGCCATGAGGTCTATTTTTATAAATGAGTAGAGGGGCACTGAATTAAAAGATGATTTAGACACAGGCTTGTCTCATTGCCTATTGAATGGCAGAAAGTACAAATAGAAAATGCACGCAGTGCTCACCCCAGGCTTCCAGACAGGAGTACACAGTTCTTATTAATACACTTACTGAAGTTATGTGCAACTTTTCGATCTAACATGATGTGCTGATTCACTGAAGGTTCATTGCCTGAAAATACTGCTGTGTCCTGGATCTGGAACTGATCACAGAGTCTGGATACATCTATTTTTTTCTTGCATGGGTCACATGATCCCCAGACAGATTTTTGAATCTAAAAATATAGAAGTGACAGGGTAAACAAAAAGCCTAAAGGACAAAGGCATTTTGTTCCATCCAAATATAGGGAAAGGCATCCAGGTTGTTTTGTGGCAGAGCTGTACTTTTATGATAACTATGCATGTAATACAGGCTACAATATTTTTCTTTCTTTAACAGCTACCATCAGTTTCATCCTCACCTTATCACAAGGAACAACATCCCAGTGAAAGGCTTTGGTTCTCTTTGTCGATGGAGAGAGGCTGCAGGGCTGGAGGAATGCAGGCGGGGCTGGCGGTACCTCTGCCTTACTTATGGGAAGTGGAAGAGATGGTGATGCTGGGGCTGCTTCCCCCTCTGCAGGCTTTGTCTGAGGGCTTGAAGACTTGTTCAGACTGGTTGTTGCAGAACTCACACCAAAATGGAGGGCCTCCTCTTTCTGTTCATTCGGAGGTACAGTAAAATCCTCATAATCAGCTTCGGAGTAGGTGCATCCTTGAGATCCCTCCTGAGGCAGTGAGGCACCCTCGCACAACTGACAATACCTTTCTATGAGAGACACCCATTCATTCTGGAGCTTGCTAACATCCTTTGTCCTGTTATTTTGGACAGTAAAGGGTATTCGAAACCTGAAATTTAAGAATGTCATATATAAACGCAAGGAAGTGTAAATAACATGCTGACTAATACAGCCACAGATATTTCTTATTTAAGCAGAATGATGTTCAGCAGCTTTACTTGTCAAAGGAGCCCATTGCTGCTGACTCTGACCTTTTCAGACAGAGTTAATTGCTTACGTGGCTAAGGTTAGAGAGCTGAAGTTTTGCCATATATTGACTTTGTGGTGCAGTTACCTCGTAATTCCTCTTCTCCACCTTGGGGGAAGGTGAACAATGTGTTACGTCTTACTGTGCTTGTTGCACAGGCTAGTCAGAACCTGTTCACACATCTGTCCTATCTCTTCACTGGCTCCCGACATGACAACCAGACAAGTCTTTGTGGGCAGTATTTCAATGTATCTTCTCAGTTCCACAATGTGGTACTTTTGATTCCTCCATAAAATACTCATCAGATCACTGCAGAGCAATGGGAGGGGTAATCTGTATAATTCTGATGGCCTCGTTTCTCCACTGTTGTATTTCGTTATGGGAGATTGAGATTCTCCATTGCTTGACCTTGTTTTCAGTAATTCTGCTTTAACAAATTATTAATTACCAGCTATACTTACAGGTAATTGTGTTCTTTGGTCTGAACTGAAAAGGTACTGCATCCATTCTCCTTGCTGATGCTCACGTTACCACCTGACAAATTAATTGTATTTGTTACAGTGTCTGTAGTCTTGTTCTTTCCTCCCAGACCTATGCAATATAAAGTCAATTCTCCTTCACGTAGTTGTACCAAGTACCTGAAGGGCAAGGAATGGAGATACAGTTCATTCTTCACTGACTACTTATTTACACAAGCCTTGCCTTCATTAAAGCATTTTCTAACTTCAATAAGTCTCCACATTTTTATAGCATCTTCCATGGAACAGTCAAAAAGTATCAATACTAAAGCACAAAACCTTTGAGATGAGGGCTTCTTATTCTCATCTGACACGTAAGTAAACTGTGACATAAAGTATGAACTTCCAGCCTGCCATGCCTAATGAGAGAGCTAAAACTAAGCAGATCTGACTATCAACTAAAAATCAGACAAGTCCTATTAATTTGTTAGCTACACTCTGTCCCTCCCATTCTATTTATTCCTCTCCTTTGTTTGCGATGGTGGGTCTTTTGGACTATGAGCTTTTAAAGGAATTCACTATGTGACTGAGCAACGCATAATATGATGAGGCTTCAGAGTTTGTGTCTTCCAGGTTCTATTGCCACCAAGCTATGAACAAGTCACCATAATATAAGTTAGTGCCCAACCTTAGGGTCCAATAACTCTCCCTCTCTTGGAAATGCCTCTGCACATGCTCTTACTCCATGAGGACTGATCCTGGTCCCCCCCTCATTCCCACAAGTCACTTGGCAGGAAGAGGTCAAAGTATTCTGCTCTCAAGGGCTTCCATCAGAAATGAGTGTGCCAAAGTGTGGGTGTTACCTATTTAAATGATAAATTAATCCTGGCACAAATTGCCTGCCCATACACAGCTTCCATTAGAGTAAAATGTTCTGCTTCAGTCTCTCTTCCAGGATTCTGCTTGGCTGCTTATATCAACGGCCCCACATTCAACAACAAGTGGGGCTTTACTGTATGTGGTTTTTATTCTTATTTAAGCATTTGCATTCTCATTTTTCTTGAGCGTTACTGCATTTCTTTATCATTCTGACAGTTCTATCAGACCTTTCTTTTCCTCCACTCCCTCTTCAAGGTGTGGCTAGTTGATTAAGGTGTTCTATGAGGAATTTAAATAAGTTTAGCTGCTCCAGAAGAATTAAACATAAAATATAAATTGCATCTATTCCCACATAAACAGTCAAAGTGATAAGAATTGTTTAATGGAGCTGGCAGTTATATTGATCTCTCCTTTCTCTTAAGCAGGGACTTATAGTTTAATCAGATCTCCAGATGTTTCCACCATTATTTACTTTGCCAAAAAAAAGAAAGAGGATTAATATCAAGAAGAAAGCAACAAGGGCTTTGCTTCACAAGATAAATAAAAATCAATTTTTGTTTGTTAACAAACTTGTTAAATGTTGCAAGGTAACAAATCCTGGGACACACTTGAGGATAGTGTTTACAAGACATACAGTGGTAGCCTTTTAAAAACAATTAAAATCATTTTCTGTGAACTGTGAAGTCTTTTGAGATAATTGCACTGTGCAGATAATTACAATGTTAAATTTTTTTCCATTAGTTTTTGGTAGACAGATTTTTTTTCTCTCTTTCTCTCCTTTGATAGTATAAGCAATTTCCTGGTATTTTAGAAGCTGGCTCAGGGGAAGGGTGGGTTGTCTATAGGATGGGTAACAAACTGTGTAAAATCATTGTGGCTGGTTCACTAGTTCAGTAATAGAATAAGCAGAAGTCATCTTATCTGTGATGGTTTAGGGGCTGAATGAAATGGTGGTGACAATCTATTTCCTACTGAATAATGATTCTTGTCTCTGAAACCACCACCCCATTAGGCCACCATGGCTGATCACCCCCACAGGAGGGAAGTTCAGAACACTACGAGAATGAATTACGAATTTTGGGGCAGGCATTTGGCCAGTGTGAGTCAATGTTCTTTAGCAGGACTCCTATACTCCTTATCTGCTTTGCCAGTCTTTTTCTCCTTTCCCTTATGACTGAAAATGGAGTAAAAAGCGAAGACATAAACATAAAGAAGTCCCACCATTAAAATCACTCTGAGCACCATTACCATTATATATTTGTGTTAGTAATGCACACAGCAGTCCCTAGCACACATCAGAACTTCATTTTGTTGGGTACCACTATTGCACTAACAGTTAATTTCAATATTTTCATCTCATGCAGATTTGACAGCTAAGTTTTAACTTTAAAAAGCAACTAAGTAATTAACTTGTTATCAGCAAATTAAAATCTTAATGTATTTATCAGAAATTTTAACAAAATCCACAACCCAGAGATCTACAAAAGTGCAGTTCATACTTCACCCATTCAGTGGATGTAAAAGTGTTTTGCTGCAAATCCAGCAGCCCTTCATGTATCACATCACATTCTGCAGGTCTTCCAGAGCAGGACTCTGCTGGTCTCTTGTATGAATTGCTCTGTATAACTCTGCTCAGAAGGTATGCTATCTATATAATAAGTGGCAGAAGAAAGAGTATATTTTCCATGTTAATTCCCTTGAATAAGACATTAATAGGTGAATTTTTCAAGTATAAAAATGATAGACAACACTATAAGCAGCAGCCAAATAGGTACCATAAATTAATGCAAAATAAATAGGCTCTTTCTATGATGCTAAACTACTTAACTGCAATTTGGTTTTATGCCCACAGTTCTAAACCTGTCAGTGTAAGGAGAATATAATTTTATTCCGGAGGGGTTACTGTAAAACATAATTTTACTTTTCTAATTCATATACAAAGCAATCAGGACAAAGTTTCTGTTCGGCTCAGTTCAAGCCCAAGTAATAATTGATTTATTTAGCTTGAAATCCCAAACGAACCCAGTAGACAACAGAAGACTTGCCTACAGTTGAAAATGGCATGGATTAAGGTGGGTGTGGATTTTAAGCACTCTTTTTGTTATACAGGGCCATATTTGAGTGTTCTTACTACAGAATACATGTGCCTTTTTGAGCTTTTCTGCTAAATGTAATCTATTGTGAAAACTCAGCTAATCAACCATGAGGTACTGTTCATCTGGAATAAAAGTTCCTGCACATGGAGTGAACCATTAAGTTTCATGAGGGATGAATCCCTCTGCAAAAAGCCCCTTAAGAATGGGGCATATCAGAACCTTGGATGCGAACTCTTCCCTGCCTTCTGAGAGTTTGTATCTCAACCTAAATTGTGCAGCTGCTTCAGCACCTCAGCAGTGGGATGAGACAGACTCCAAGACATGATCACCCCTGAACACACAGGATATCTGCATTCAGGTGAAAAGCTAGTGCTAATGTCATGACTTGAGTTTCTCAGGTTTCAGTGTAGAGTCCAATTACACTAACTACATGGAATATTTAATTGAACCTAGAACTCGGAAGGACCTGAGATCTCAAAATGAAACAGCTTATACAAAATCTTGCAACACTGAATCATTTAATTAAAGAAATATCTAGTTGTACCTAGGCTGTCTTCCTTTGATAATTTTATAATTTCAGTGTATTTTGATGGTAAAAGATGAACTACCAGGTCTTTTTCTTTTCACAGCATCAGGACGGCCTCATTCATTCTTCTTAAAAGCATGCATTTTAATAAATATCTATAGAAAAAAACTACTTAGAAAATTTCAGTTAAGATTCAACTGTGCATGTCATCAGTTTTGTTTGCTTGTTTTAATACAACCTCAGACCAGTTACATTCAAGGTGTAGTTGAAGAAATGCATCCACTTTCATATCACATCTTGAGCTAACTTTATATCTTCAGTCCTAGTGAACTGTGGCAAAATCCTATGGCCAAACTCTATCCTGAACTTGCATTCCCTTTGTTCTATGTATGAACATACACAGAATAAAGACATAGCTACTTCTTTGCTTGCACAATGCACAGCATAACAATTCCCATTTATGATTGAGACCTGCTGGGTACTACCATAACATTAGCTGTTATTTATAGCAATCTGTCTATGACATTGTAAAAACTTACCTTCCTTTTATCTTCAAGAGACACCGCTTCCAACTCATAATCTTGTCGTCCATGAAACACAATACTGAAGCGCCTCCTTTCAGTATCTTCACAGGCTTTGACTTGTGAGAAAGGGAACTGTTTCTTAATAATTCCTTTTTCAATGTTAAAAATGGTCTTTGTGTTGAAATCAATCTGGAATAAAAAGTTCTTTATTACTTAACTCCATCACTTCTCTTCATTGAAAGGAAGACAGCATCCCCAATATTACCATGCAAGGGCATTCAGATAGAGGATCAGCTTAGAATATGTATTTATCTTGCTGATTAATGAATAAAGAGTGACATTCCATCATCAAGATACTGTACTATATTTGTTTTAGTTGCAAAACAAACAGATATTCATTGAAACTGTGTTTCCCTATCTCTTTTGATGAATATGCATCAATTTATCACTCTGAAATATTATTTCTTTTTAAATTCTCCTTGTCTTATACAACCCAGTGCAAAAACTTCCCATTCAGCAGTAGCACAAGCTAATGGCAGGACCATCTCAGCAGAGATTCAATTACTAACTGGTTCAACCTATGCCCAAGTACTAAAATAAAGTGAAGGTGGTTATTTTTATAAGAGCCACTTCTGTTTCAGGAAAAGAGGATAGTATTGAGAGATTACTTTCTGATATAAATATTACTGTGTTTTGGTTTAGATCTTATCTAACACAGATTTTTCTGTCCGTGTGTATATATATACACATATATGTGTACATATAGGTGAAGGGAGCAATGATAATAGCCAATAAAGTTATTTTATTGCTGTTTCACAGCTATAACAACTAAAAATTGTTTGCATCAAAATAAGATTATTCTTCTTCCACTGCACAATCTGTATTTGCAGTGTTAAAAACTGGAACAGACAGATTCCAGTATCTGTTCTATGTGTCAATCCCTGCTGAGCAGAAACAGCTTTGTTGGTACAACACGATGTGAATATTATCTGACTGCCCAGCTTCAATGAACACAGCCCACAGAGAAGACAAACTCAGAACAGTCTCAGATCTCGCCTGAGTTAGACATTTACCTTTGGTCATAAATGATTCTTGGTACCTTTCATTCCTATAGTGTGGACCACGCCAACCAAATGCTAACACCGTGGCCTTTCCCTCCATTCTGTTTATAGCAGGAAATCTCCAAAGCAGAACCCTTTATTATCATTATCATCTCACTATTATGTCTGACTTTTGAAGGCTGCTGGTAACTAAAAACTGGAATTAAACTACTCCAAATTCCCAAACTGATAACTTCCACATCTGATACAGCTTTCTCCATTTTTCCATCAGCTTTAGGTCTGAACAAATAATCTCCTAATTCCAAAATCCAATGGATATTGAGGGAAATAAGGAGATTATACTTTCTACAACTGAGATGTAGTAAACAAAAAAACACCATCTAGCATGTATGACTTGGACTTGCTCATTATAAAATTTTGTCCAAACTGCAGGAAAAATTCAGTGAAATCCAGGTTCCTGGAAACAAAATGAAACCTTTGTCACTGACTTCATGGAATCAGGAAATCACCATTAGGTGTTATCAACAGAAGTTTGTTTTAATATCTTTCACGTGTTGTCCCATTATGACACAGCAAGTCAACAAAGCCTTAAGAGTTCATAATGTCAAAAAAAGAATTTCCAGGACAGAGTAACCAGAGATGAAATGCATAGCCTGCCAAAGGAGCCTTCTGCGTATCCCCAGGAACATTGCTTCCCAAGGTTTTAGAGATTGCAGCTGAAGTGACGTCCTGTCAAAAGGGACAGATATTTAAGTATGTCTACATCACTTGTATTCTTTTACTGTTGCTAACTAATAACAACAACTCCCAGGCAGAGCCTATTATAATCAATCATCTTTGTGATGAATCATTTTTTTAGAGGGGAAATAACCTCTTAGATCATCAAGTCCATTCTACAGCCCTGCCAGGGGCTCAGTAGAGGGATTTGCAGATATTACCCCCAGAATACTTTTGGTGTAAAAGGTAGAAAGTTGATCGATATCTTGTACTTCTCTGATAGGTTGCTGAACCACAGGATGTATTAAGCTATCTCATAACATTTATTGAGCAGCATAAGCATCCTATATTTTTAATATATTTCTTAAAAAGTGAGAATTTTTTAAGTTACCTGCAAAATTCGTTTCTGCCACCGATAGTGTTTGTATTTGTAGATACTGAAGTTAAATTGTGAGCCAGTTAACGAATCCTGTGAATCCTGAAAAACAACAGAAATCAGCAATATGTCCACACTGTTATTTTTTGTCCACTTAAATCCACTCATGTTCTCGGGCGAAATCTCCCTCAGTGAACAGTGTTCAAACAGCGCTGGAGGCTTTGCAGAAGAACTCCACGTGGAGATACATGGAGTCATCCTCCTGACCTGATTTTCACAAGCACAAAATATCCACAACTTCTGCTGAACTAATGAAGGGATCACAGATTGGGATGGAATGTGAAAGGGAGAGCAGAAATCAGGAAGACAGGAAGGGGAAGAGCAGAGCCCATGGAATTGTACTAAACACATTTCAAAACACATGAGTCCAAGCAGTTTATTAAATGGACTAAGTAGCAAACAAAACCATATGTGACTTTAAAGAAAAATATTTACAGACCCTTGAATGTGGTGCAGTAAAATGGAAGATCTTTGCTCCTTCTTATTATATGACAGCATACAATTTGTTACCTGGTCCCTTACAGCAGCTATACTGTGTGCATGAAAAATGACTAATTTTATAATCTTCAGGAAAGCACAGAGAAGGGAAGGTTGTTATCCAGCTATATGAAATTTGATTTAGTGCTAATAATTAGCTATCACAAAAACTTTAAAGCAGCAGCAGTAGAATATATTTCCATGTAGTCTTACACTGCAGTTTAATACTTTTGTTGACTGCAGCCCTTCTGCAAAACTTGTGCTGCTTTTTTATTAGTATTTATTTTTGCTTCTCCTTCTACTTCTTTCCAGCCAAGAAGTTAATATGCAGTTCAGAAAGCTATTTTTAAAAATTCCAAAAAGCACCAGGTTTATCTCAACATCAGTATCAGCTCCTGCAGTGCAAAAAAATTTCAGATTGTGTCATTAGCACATCATAAGATTTCACCGTTTCCTGGAGATACTCTGATAGGGAGGCTGGTTCAAAAATCCAGAGCAGAAAGGGAAACAGATAGTGAAAATTTCTCCAAAGAATTCTCTACTGGCACTTCTGTGGTGATGACGGACAGAGACTGCAATGAGAGATACACTGGACAGGGATTACAGAGAGGAGTACAAGGCTGATGTACTAATGTACACAATTAATGTACTCCTCATTCTCAAACTATTTCCACTCACCATTATCAACTTCTGTTTTTCTCAGGAAAGAACTTCCATGCTTTCTATAAAATGGAAAGATGCTAATGATTGACTTCTGATTGTCAGTGAAGAGATGAAGGCTTTAACAACAGAAAAATGAGTTTTTTCTGTCTCAATCTGATCCTGAAGAAATCTCTGGACTAGACCTCTTGGTCTCATTGACCTATGCTCAGCAAAGTTATGTTGTTGTAGGACCCAAAAACAGTTTTAAGCCACCTTTACACTGATTCTGCTTTTGCCTGGTGGAAGGTCAGAGCCAACCATAGGAAATGTTAGAACTGAAGTCACACTGACCAAGGCTTTGCACTTTGTAGCTAGCCATTCTTGTGGCCATGCATAACACTGAGTTGTCAGACCCTCTTACGGTGACCAGTCATGCCCCAAGGACAACCGAACACTAGGAGATCCCTCAGAGATTAGATCCATCATTTTCCTGAGGTGCTTCATGGTATCAAGCCAATGATTTTGCCCTACATTTATTTTTACAGTACTTGATGCTGCACTCGGAATAACAAAACTCATATGGATAAATCTGACCTAAACTACTTAATCCAGGTAATGACAACAGTGTAACTGCAGCATCTACATGGGATATCCATTGCATAGGATACAGGTAGCATTAGCCATTAGTACCTGACATATTTGGTCGTAAACTGGAGTCTATATGTTTGCACAAGTTGGGACTGAGTCTTTGAATGCAATACAGACATGCTCCTAACGCTCAACCAGGCTTTCCAGAACATGCTCGTACATTTGAATGTCTTACAAAATAGATCAAAGGAGCGACCTTACCTTTTCAGCATACACCTCTTTCTGTGCCAAATGCAAAGCTCCTTCAATGCTCACTTCTTTATTTTTCACCATGTTCATAATTTTGAGGATTTTTTCCTGGCTTAACTGGAAAAAAAGTCAATCAAATGTTTTTAGAGACTGTTTTTTTCATCTGGCTATTGAGGATACAGAGTGCTTGTGACAGTTACAGCCACGGTATCTGCCATAAAATTACAATTTCATTCATATTTTATGTTCTATCGACATCCTGCCCAGAAAATATAATCTCCCTTTGAAACCTGGTGAGAGTCCACAAGATATCAAATGTACAGGGGCTTTTACAATTTTAGAAGATGGGGTGATAATATCTAGAGATAGAACTGCCAGGAGGAAATCTTTTTTAGTTATAAAATCTGGTAAGAAGTGAAAACATCAATTTTGCATGCTTGCCTGTGTCTTGCCCTTAGTGTAAAGTACAACATACAGACAACATGAAAGCAAAATCAGGACCATTCAAAATTTTCTAGGGTGAAGGGAGGAAAAACTGATGTTGGTAGCAGCAGGTACATATGTCATGTGAACTTATCTAAACACGTTAACAAGCCAGCATTACACTTCCCCTTTCTTTTACCAAAAAAGAAGGTTGCACTGTCAATAAGCTTACACATAAATTTATGTGGCTCTTAAGTGAACCAGGTGGGCATTGCAATGCCAAACAGGAATCAAGCAAAGAAAAAGGCAGGTCAGGTAACCAGGGACCCAGAACTACAGCCACTTTGCTGTTGGTGAAGCTCTTTCACACACTTTGTAGGAGGAATAAACAACCTCCCTTTGAGACAGACCAAAGAGTTCCCTTGTGTGATATCCATTCCTCAACAGCAGCAGAACTGGGAATTTGGAAGGAGTGTGTAGGTTTTACCACAAGAGCTTAGGAACTTGTGATTTTTTTATCCAGTAGCTTAGCTACAATATTCAATTAGCTACAACAGACAATGTTTCCTACCCCACTGGAGAATGACCTCACCACCAGGAGGTGAGTTACTACAATAAACTCTTTCTTTCAAATGTTTTGAAAGTTTTCAAACTCTTCCATGTGGACATCCAGGTGAAGAGCCCTCCCCGGGGGTGTTGCCCAGGCTGTGCAGGAGCACAGGGAAGGGGCAGAAGAGACGTCTCGGGGAACGCGAAGGGGGCCTCCCCTGCACCCCTGTTGCCAGAGCTGCTGCAGGGACTAACGTTGTCAGAGCAAGGCAGCTGAAAGCATCGCAACATTGCAAGCAAACCTGAATTTGGCTACCTTAGGACGAGGCACCAAGACCTGGAGTGGGTTTTGCTGTACCTGCCATAGGAAAAAGAAGGCAAAGAGCTAAAGACAGGTATCCCTAGAGAGCCAGGTCTGCTGCCTGGGAGGGCAAGGGTGGGTGGAAATCGAGGCTCCTGAGAGCTGCTAGTTTTGCCGCCTGACACTCGTGATTGCTACCCCCAGCAGCAGCCACCAAGCTGCTTCCCAGACCTCGGAGGCAGGCAGGGCAGGCAGAGCAGGCAGCAGGGCTGCAGCTGCTTTGCCACCCCCAGCACCTTCCTGTCCTAACCAGCCGCTTGCTTTACCTACGCCCACAGCTCTCCACAGATATAGCAGCTTCTCTGCTAAAAACCCCAGCAACGCAGCCTTGCAGCAGAACAAGATCCTCTCCACCCATCCAAGCACTACTGTCACCTGGCACAAGTCTGATGAGCAGCACAAAAATAACCAGTCACACCACAGAGGTCAGGGACCAGTAAATCCACAGGTTCTCTCTTTTTCCGAGCCGCACTACACCAAACGCACTTTAGCTTACCAAATTTCTAACATCTCAAGCAGTTTCTGATCAACAGAGACACTGTATGTTTTTACAGCCTACAAATAAAACTAGGAGTAAAAGAAGAAGAAATATTTTGTTTTTAAAGCCTTGGAATTTTCAATGCTAATATAAAGGTAACTTATGGCATAGCTCCCAGCTGCAAATAGTAATGTGAACAGTGAGGAAAGAATGAAAGCAGTCTGATAATTCATTCACAGTTGCTGAGGCACAGAAGGTTCCTACAATGACCTCCACATTCTGTATTTGAATTTTAAATGGCCATATATTTACACCACACATACACTGTATACGATTAGATCTTAACAAGATAATTCCCCACTGAACAGGCTCTGTGTAAGCAAACAAGAATATGGATATATTTGAATTGAAAAATACAGTTTCCTTAAGGCTAGGCTCTGCCAGCTTTAAAGTGCAAGATCCTATTTATACAGGATAGCAATTCTTAATAGGAAGTGGGATAGTATTTTTGCAACTGTTAGGCCCTTTTGTATGGAGAAGGGTTCAAAGATTTTGCTGCAGGATGACAGTGATAACATAAAGATAACATCATAGCCTTATGTCAAAGGCACAGTCTGATTAACATAAACAAGAGAAGTATTTATTTCTTTTGATTCAATACACAAGTAATTCAATGAACGAGCGCAGTTCTCATTTGAATCTCATGGTGTCATCCAGCTACGCAATATATCATGCGCATCTGCAGGGATGCTTCGTAAGAGTGGCCAAGAAATCAAGAGTTTCAATTTAAAAAATGTGAGGCTTTGAATTTTTTTTTTTTTTTCCCTAGGATATAGGTGATTGGGGTCACCATCCCTGTTCTCGTGCAAGCAGGCTCCATACTCTGCAGTCCCGCAAACACTGGGTATTTTAAGGTCTGTCTTTCTGGCCAAATGTTCTGTCTAGGACCAAGAAACCTTGCTACATCATCTCTACCAAAACCAAGAAATTTTCTTGTAATTCACTGTGTTTCTCTTTTGCATTGCTGAAAATTTTCAAAAGCTTTTTTTTTTTTTTTTTTTTTTTTTACTTTTTACAAAAGAATTGCACAGAAGGGAATGCATTTTTGCCTCTATGGAGTATTCAACTCTTTATTCTGCTTACCTTCACCAAAGTCTCCTTTAGACTAGAATGAAATTCTGCCCAAGACATGAAAACAACAGGGAACATCTCTTAATTTGCTTAATAATGTATGAAGAAAAATGTTTACAAAAGAGAAGCAAATAATTTTGTATATTGCAAATCCAGGAAGGTTAGTTAGTAAATTAGACTACTGACAGTTAATGCATTCCCCAGAGAGCACACAAAAGACAGTGCTTGGTACAGGTTATTTTTAACAGCACCCTGTTGTTTTAATGCCTCTGTTAACTCTCTTTCTGCACATCTGTAAGCAGGAGGGAAACATTTCAAAAGACAAGAGAGGCAAAAAAGGCACTTTTTAGCTTATGAGAACTGTCAAAATTATTTGTCAGAAGTCTGTCTGGCTCGCTTAGGCTTTTGACAGCCACACGTTAGCATGGTATTTTTACTTGCAAACAAGACTTGAGTAACATGTCCTGACCTTTATCATTTTGTATCTGTGAGGCTTTTCTCTCCGCACGTCACAATTTTTGTAATGCTCATTCTTGTGTTTGTTTTGATTATATTTTTTTCTTTAAAAGAAACAATTTTTGTCATATTATCCACTGAAATGCCACTAAGTCACATCGTGTTAGATTGCCTAGTAGAATGTGACTGGTGCAACCAAACAGAATGTTTTTATACAAGGCTGGATAACAAAACTTAGAAAAAAATTAAATGCTTCTGTTATAAAGCATGCACATTAAGGAAATACATGAGATTGCATTAATAATGCATTTGTTTACCTGCCAGGTTAAAGAAGCTTGTTTAATACAGATTAAATTTTCGTCACTCACCCAAAATTCAGTATAGCCACGTAAGTGATTTGAAAGAAAAATCAACACTCACAATTTTTTTCCAGGCATTCTCTGTATATCCATTACTCTGCAGGGTGAGGTTTTTATATTTTTGGCCTAGACGTGGCATAAAATGCATTTAGTGGTGAGATACGAGATTTCTGGCTTATTCTTGGGCAGCTGCCAATGCAGTACTCTACATGACCCCTTCCAGGGCTTCCTGCCACTCTCCGTTTACCCAGCACAGTCTCACAAGAGGCCCTAAGAGGTGTGGAAGGTTTTGCATGTAGTGTCCATGCTGTGAAGATATTACTCTAATGACTCCAGAAAGGTCCCCAGACCTTCTGAGCATCAACCAAGAAAGAGGGGTTAAAGCCACATCATCTGAGTCATTTACAGTTGATTGAGCAAAGCAGCGGAAGGCACGCAAAACACTGGTAACCGTTCAAGGACGAGACAGGTTAACGCCTTCCTGTATCTCTTCTTTCTGACTCTCATCCTCTAATACACACTGGTTCACATTCCCTAATCAACCACAGGATTGCTGTGACTCCTGTGCAGTCAACGGAGATACCTGGGCTTCTCTAGGTGGCAATTCACCCCATGTAAGACCTGTCTCATTATCTGACAACTCTTTCTCTCCATTACCTACTGAGGAATTTGAGCTACGTGGCTTTTGCTGAGCTTATTCTTATTCTGTGGACTATCCTACCTGAATTATAATAATATGACAGCAATCTAATGCAAAAAGACTCATGGAATGTGTAGAGCAAGAAATCTGGCTGTCAGTCAGCTATACATATGATCTCAATTATTACAAATACTGGCACGATTCAGTGAGACATTATTTCAGGTTTACTTAGGCAAAGATCATAGCTAATATGCACCGAGCTCTATCATTTCCTGTGACAACAAAACCAAGTCATGCAGAAATCCTGCTCCCTGTACAAAGGAGGAGAAATTTTTATTCAAGTCTAGTCAAGCTTTTCACTGTTAAGCATTCCTTACACTTGTCCTTATTAAACATTAGCAGTGTTAAACATTCTCATCTGCTTGCTGCAAGGAGTAAGAGACAAACCAGCTCCTGGCTGCTGTGGGACCCAGAAGGGAAGGCTGGACCAAGAGGGCTTCTTCCTCATCCTCTCCACTCCACAGTAGCATCTGCCTTCTAGCACTGCTAGGATCAATGCTCCAAGGGACAAGGGAGCTCAATCCAAGAGGCAAGATCCAAGTAGTGGCTACATATTGCTTTACAGAGATTTCATGAATTTTTGGGCATAAATCTGACTGAATGCTATTGTTGTCCACACAAAAAGAAATATGCTGTTTTAACATACATGCCTGACATTTTTTATCCAGCGTAGGGTCATATTTTCATTCATTTTGGAGTCCAGTTTTTTAAATACAGCTTTTAATAATAGAAGATTTTGTTTTCTATCCAGAACAGCAGGATAAAGCGACTTTGAGGGAAAGCCTTCTGGGGATTTTCTGTTGACTCAGTGCCTTCCAGCTATAGCGCACAACACCTTCTGCAAAGCAAGTACAGTGTAGAAGCTTAAAAATAAGTGCCAAAATATAATGTGGTGACCTGTGATGAAGTTTCAAGTAGCAACTTCCTTTTCCAAGCTGTGCTTTTAAAGAAAACACTTTTTTCTTTTTTCTTTTAAATCAAAGGCACTGGCTTAGTTTACTATGGATATGTGTCTTTCTCACAATATTATGGTGAACTGTACTCTGCCTGCATGTTGAACATGTCATTTAAGTGATTTTAACAATAGCAGACACAATCTGGGTTGCCTTAAAGTTCCAGTCTGGTGTTATCAGCTTCCATCTCCTAATGTATTCACTTTTACCAGGTTTGAACTTGGCCCAAAGTGTACTGAGTGCTCCCATATATTGACAGGGGAGTGGCTGTCTTCTATGATTGGGGTATCCAAAAAGCCTTCACTTATAATTTACATGAAATACCACTACAGATGACTGATGTGATATTTTTATGTGGCAATACCATCTTTTGTAGCCAGTCATAGAGACAGACTAATATTATTTGTCAAACAGAGCTGCTATTCATCAAATAAATTATCCATCTGTAATAATGTTTTGCATTATTTGTTGAGATCTATATCTGGCTGAATAATATCTGTCAACATTTATTCAAAGAAGAAGGTATTCATCAAACAGTAGCTTGATTTCCTTGAAAACACTGGAAATTCTGCCACATTCAGTAGGAGCTGGAGGAGCCCAAAGGCATTTTATTATCATTTATTTTTTTATTGGTATAAAGGTATATAGTGATTAAGTACAACAACAAAAACTCTCAAAGAGCTAGTCTCAAAAATATTTTGGAACCTAAAATATGAACTGGTGCCTAGTGACATGTATATAGTACAGCATACAATACAAACCAGTCTACCTACTACCAGTTTTGAAACCATCGCCATATTGAGGAATGCCTAAACATTTCTTAAACTTCCCTCTGAAAAACTGATGATTTATAGGTCTCACATGAAGCAATGACTTCAGATTTTCCCTCCATCACCACCTAACAGACCAGCATGTTCTCAGCAGGACCCTCCTGCTCTAACAGCACTTGGAACTTGCCAGGAAGCGACACTGTGAAAACTCAAAGGATAAATGTAGTAGTGTTGCACAGGAGACTGACTTCATTTTGTACTGTTTGGTGTTTTCATTAATGATCTGGTGATGGACTAGATATTTTGTTTATTAAATTTGCAGACTTTGACACGAAGGTGGAAAGAACTGCAAACGGGTTGCAAAGGGGATTCAAATTCAAGACAAGCCTGACAAATGAAAGAAGCGATAATATACAATTCATCAAGTAGAAAAAAAAAAAAAATTAAAAAATTAAGCAGGAATTACAAGCTTTTTTTTTTTTGCAGGAATTACCAGCTTTACAAGCACTGGCTGAGGAACATATTTTCTTCAGAAAAAGACCCAGAAGTTATAGCAGCTTACAAACTGACATAAGTTAACAACATGCTGTTGCAATAAAAGTGAACATCCCACTGGGTGGTTATAGACAGCAGCATAGTCTGCAAAACACAAGTAATCTTTCCAATACTCAGTACTGATAAAGACTTGTGCTGGAATAGTGTGTGAAGTTTCCAATGTCTCCAGAAAAGAGTTGGACATGGAGTAGTCCAGATCAGGACAATGAGAATAATCAGAGCTTTGGAAAACACGACTTACAAGGAAATAGAGGAAGGACTGGGATTTCACAGCTTAGAGAAGGCTGGGGGAGTCACAGTCTTCTACATAAACAGCTGCTTCAAAAAGGAAAGGAGCAGGTTGCTCTCTGTGTGGTAGGATAAGAAGAAATACAATTTAAATTACAACAAAAGAAGTTCAGCTTAGATGTTTGGAAAACAGTAAGGATAACACTAACCACTGAGCTGTCTAGGGAAGATTATGGAAT